CACGTATTCCTAAGAAAAGGAAAACGGAAGAAAGGAAAACAAAAGAAAAGGAAAACGAAAGAAATGGAAAACGAGAACAACGAGAAATAGTGACCCATAACCGAGATGCAGAGACCTGGATTCGAATCCAGATTATATATTCTTGGCCCACACCTAGAAGTGGGTAGTGTGAAGTTCGCCTCTGCTACACATAGGGCCCCAGCTAATATGCTGTAAGGGCCCTTCGGAAAAGAGGCTGGACCCAGTAGGGCATGAATACTCGCATGCATAGACGAGTGCCCACAGTTTTGGGGTATCGCATGGCCCAAACATTTTTTTTTTTTTTTGATGCGCCGCATCACATGTGGCGCATCTCATGCGCGTGCGCTGTGCGCCGCATGTGCCGCGTCCCCGCGCATGAGATGCGCCGCAAGTATGGTGTCAGGTGATGAGTGGTGGCCTCTTGTGTGTGGTTGGGTGGAGGACCTGCGGAGTGGGTGAGCGATTGCCCAGCGAACCATTCGGCGAAACCAGTTCGAAAGTCGTGTGACATGAGTTGGTAGCCGGCGTTGTCGGCCACGCACATATGCAGTCCAGCCTCTAGCCAGGACACTGGGAGGATGGCCCCTGACAAGCATACATCGTGTCAGGGAAGTCACTGCCGCTTTGAAGTCGGTAGTATTGTTACATATGTGTTCGAATCTCGTTAGTTGTCCCGTGAGCATACCTGCAGGCTGATGAGCCGGAGCGTTGGAGGAAGCACTGGGATAACGTATGACAGGGAACGTCCAGTTCTCGGCCTTATCAAATACGCCAATGCGAAGTGAGCCATCAGGCCGAACCAAGATTCTTGCCATGACCCATCTTGCTCAGTAGTGTCTTTCCACTCAAGACCATACCGAGCTGGAGACGGCGGTAATGTCTTCCAAGATAGAATGTCATCAATGAATGTGTGTGTGTGTGTGTGTGTCTGTGTCCACGTGGGTGTGGGTGTGTGATACCTGCTCGATCGAGTGATGTATATGGAGCCAAGGATAAAAGTGATGAAAAGGACGAATAGGCAATGCAGCATCAGCAAAGCATCAACAAGCAGTGTACATCCAGATACATACGAAAAAAGCATAATGTAGCGCAGTGGAAGACTCAAAGATATGACCTGACCTGTCAAATACTGACGCGACACCTCATCATACACCACACGTGAGAGAGAGTGGAGGGACTCCCTCCTTGAGCACGCACATGGGGAGATACCACGGATGAGGAGATGCGGGCGAGGGGAGACTAAGATGGAGATGAGGGAGAAGACCAAGATTGCGATAGCGAAGTCCAAAAACAGCCTCCCTGTCGAATGTCCAATCAATGTCTGCCACGAAATGCCGAATCAGATCCTGGGCCTCATGGCCTGATGTAACCTCTGCCTGTAAACCCTCTCTCTCTCTCTCTCCCTCTCCGGAAGAAGAAGACGAAGAGGAGGAGAAGAAGAAGAAGAAGAAGAGGCGGAAGTGGAGGGCGAGGAAGAAGATGTCGCCCTCCTCGCTGTCTCACCTGCAGGTAACTGCCGCCAGGTGCCACTAGCGCCGGATGCAGGTCTCCCGTACGACATCCGGCTATGGCGCCCAGGTGAGTGGCTGTGCTGCAGGTATGGGCACCGCCGCTCTTCGTCTCTCCCTCTACCCACGCCTCTAACGCTAACGCAGCGCTGTGTCGCGCTGCTCCAGCAGCGTGTCGCCCAAGAAGTGAGCTACTCGAACTGTGTGTGTAACTTGGCCTGGCCCAGCTATGTATAGCACTGGGCCTCACTGGTGTGCTGCTTGCCCTGGCTTGAAATGGCCTACACTGTCTGGGTCCCTACCGAACGTCCAGACCTTCCTGCTGATGCAGCAGCGAACGTCCTGCTAGCGGACGAAACCGAACCTGGCCTCCAAGGGCCCACTCGTGAAGGAGGCCCAGAATGTGGCCTAGGTCCAAACAGACTGAAAGTCTGTTCGGACATCGCAAGTCTGAAACGTTGCCCTGCAACAGACAAACAACAGAGAGTAAATAAATAAAATAAATAAATGAATAAATGCTGCCTTGAATCTGAACCTGCGGCCCAAAACGTGGCCGCGGGCCTCCAGGTCGAGTGCCTGGAATGGGCAGGTGGCCTAAGGGCCTCAGTAACCGTCGGGCCCCCAAGACGGGGGCTGTGTTCATCTCAGTTTATGTGTGCATTGATGCTTGCCACCCACATCCTCTTTGGTGAGTGTGTACTTAAGATATCCGCTGTGCTTTCCCACACTCTTTCCTCACAGAATTCATCCTCCATATCTAATGCAGCAGCCCCTCCTTGGGTATGCATCATGGTGGGCAGAATTCTTTCGGAATTTAAATAAGCCTACTGAACTTTTTCTTGCGCTCTTAGTATATGGACATTACCACCTCTCCCCCCATCTGACTGCCAGCATGCAACATTTAATGGGGCAGAAAAAACTACACATTGATGCGAGGGACACAAACTGTTGGAAGGTAACTGGGTTGGTCACGACCCAGAGTCAGTGCGCTTGAATGGAGGCAAAACACCCAATGAATTATGCCACTTTCATGCAGTGAGATCTGTTCGCACTTGTCATACCTGAGAAGAAAGTCGGTCCCCTTTCTCCCTGCCTTCTCTCTTGCTCTCCCTTCCAATCTCACGCTCCCTTTTACAATTGGTAGTCACTGGGTGGGAAGCTGGCTCGGACCGGTGTGCAGATGAAGTCTTTTGGCCCAAGCCATCCCTCCTCTCTGGAGTGCCGTCTACTCTCACTCGCTCCCTTTTCTCATCTCTCCCCCACTCTCTCTCTTGCCCTGAAGGAAGCAGCTCAGCGCTATGTCCACCATTAGAAACCTCTTGCTCCTTACACCTCTCTCTGTCCCTCTCTATCAGATCATGGTCTTGGGCATTCAAACCCGCCTCACTTCCTCGACCTTCCTGGATCTTTGACTCCAGTTTCATCCTTCCAGCAGCTCTATATGCTGTTGAACCACCTCCTGATCCTAAATCTCTGTCCTGATTCATGCGTCCTCGCTCTTCCCGAACTGCTGATGAGGCCAGTGTCTCCCCTCTGATTGCAACTATGCCCGTGTCCTCATCCTGCTTTATTCTTAGCATTCCTTGGCCTGCACCTGCTGGCACAAAACATCAAGGGAGTAGATAACCATACATGTTGTCATCACTGAAACTTGAAATACCAACCATTTATCAGAGAGTCCAATCTCTCATCCGCTTTTTCTTTTCTCTGTTTTCCAAAGGCTTAAAAACTTTTGTTAACACCAAAACCCTTCAACGCCATATACTATATTTAGCAATCCCAGCCAAACAATGACTTGACACAAGAAGAAAGAAGATTAAGCTTGATTGACCAATCTTCAAGCAATCGTGCATGACAAATGAGATTGGGGGGGGGGGGGAATCATGCATGCAAGAAGAACCCAAACCTTTGGGGGACAAGGCCACCGTGATCAGGCCACAGTTTACTGAGACACTTCTCCTGACAGGCTCGTCTTCTCTTCTAACTGTGATCGAAATCCTGAGAGATTAACTCCTTTTGAACACAAACCTTTTGAAGCTTGTAAGACAGTCATGTAGGTGAGGAGAAAAAAAAAAGACAGTCCTGTAGGAAGTATGAAAAGCACGTGTCGCGATTGAAGAAGGCAGAGACAGCCGCGGCTGCAGAGAGAAAAGCCCAAAACTCCATGGAAATAGAACTGTCAGAGGAAGATGGAAGAATCATGGCAGACTTTCCCGACTGATGCAAATTGGAGCAGGAAGAAGGAAGCGCAAATGGGCATTCTCAGGAGGGGAAAACAGATGGCTTGAATGCAACCTGCCAGAACATGCTGAATATTACCTAAAGACAGAATTCACCTATCAAAAGAGGAAGCAGCAAGTTTCGAAGAGGGCAACATTATACTGATGTAAGGGAGGGGAACAGTTGGCTGAGGTGTGACTCAACATCTTTATTTAAACGCACCAGTGGCAGATTGCAGGAAAGGAAGAATATTTGCCAGTCACGATGGGGAGGGAACAAAGGCCAAAGGCATTGGGATGGGAAGCCGAAGGCATTGAGCTCACCCTCAGGAGTTGGGGCCTCTTCATGGAGGCAACCTGCAAGAGGTATTCAAGCTCAGAGAAAGAGATGTCATGAGAAAGTATTGCCCGACATAGGATCACAGTCTGTTTGCACTTTCTCAGAGAGAGAAAGGACTAAGGGTGGCACCATCAGATACAGGCAGGAAGTGGCTCAGTTTGGGAATTGGTAATTGGTTGCACCTGCCTCATGGACCGACAGTACACATTCAGCTGTTGATAAACAGATCAAGAGTTCAAATCTTGTCTGCACTTAGATAAGAAAATGAATGTTAGGGTCTACCCGTTGTTGACAAAAAAAGGAGGAGGACTTGAGCATGTGGATCTATTCTCAGATGTCCAACCTGTCTATGGGTGGTGAGGTAGGGTCTTACTCCCCACAGTGGGATGATGCTCTAGGCTGCATATCAGTCAAAAGGAAAGGAGTTGAGAAAAGTCAAAGAAGGATGAGAAGGAGGGTGAGGAAGAGGAAAGTCATGACTTCACTCCAAACCACAACGAAAACTGCCATAGCCAGGATTCTAGAGTGCACCCAGGATATCTCTGAACATTCCTCATCAACCTGTCAGAGGCATTCCTGGCTACACGAAAATCATTTCCACTCGAGCATTTGAAATTCCTGGAGCTTGTCTTTTGGGACATCCGTTAAAATTGGAACGGTACAGAGAAGTGTGAGGGAATGTGCCCTCGGCAGACACATAAGGGCCCTGCTGTACCTTACTTGTGTGCGCCCTAATTGAAGGCGGGCCTGAATTCTTGAAGGGGCCTGCTTTCGGGGCATTTCCAGGGAGCCAGACAGTTATTTGCAATGACTTGCTGGTTCCAGGGCCTGTAGCCTCTCTCGTCGAGGCTGTACCATAGGTAGGACAGATTTGCAATTTTGTTTGGCTGAGGGCTAACCGAGAAACCTGCCTGTAAGGAAAATTCGAGAGGGACATATCTGCAAATTTGGGAAATATAGGCCCGTACTAACTGGAATTTCCTACAGCTACCCTAACTGCGAATCGCAGGCCCGGGCTACCCCTAAGACAGACAGGCCTAAGCTATAGCCTATAGCCGGGTAGAGAGAGGCCCTAGAGGCCGAAACTGCAACAGTACCGGTCGGTCCAGTCAGTCCGGTCTAGGTCGTGTCTAGGCTAGTGTAGGTTATAGAGAGGATGAGGACATCGGTTCAGGGCTTTTGGCAGTGGGTACCGTGTACGTCGCTGCTGGGCAATGTGTGAACTGGATGTGGTGACAGCTTCAGCGTTGGAGGAGACAGACATAGCCAGACCTGCGGAGTGGCGGTCATAGCTGGGACCGGCACTGTTGCAATGACTTGCTGATTCTGACTGCCGAGATTGACTGTGAGGCTGTACACTAACTGGTAGGGTTAGATTCGTAATTTTGTTTGGCTGAGGGCTAACCGAGAGACCTACCTGTAAGGAAATTCGTGAGGGACATATCTGCAAATCTGGGAAAATATTGGCCCAGTACTAACTCGAATTCCTACAGCTACCCTAACTTCGTATAGCCGGCCCGGGCTACCCCTAGGACAGACAGGCCCTAAGTGGCCTATGCTGATAGACGGTCCTATAGCCTATAGCCGGGTCTGGTAGAGGCCGAAAGGCCGAAACAGAAACGGTACCGGTCGGTCAGTCAGTCCGGTCTAGGTCTAGTGTAGTCTATAGATAGGTTAGGCCCATCGGTTCAGGACTTTTGGCAGTTCATTTCTCGTGAAGCGGCGTTGGAGCCAAGCAAGTTGGTGGTGGTGACAGTCTGCAGGAAGCATCCTGAGACCTCGCTGTTACCAGCAGCCATAGCCGGCCCAGTCTGAGTCTGCCATAGCTGGGGCATCCTCAGCGCATCTGCCCCTGGGGTATCTGCGTCTGGCCGGGCTACATCGCGGCTCTACACTGTGTACTCGAGGGTGGTGGCAGCCATAGCTGCCTGTTCCTTCGTCGGAGTTGTCCATCGGCACTGAAGACTTCATCGCAGGACCTGTTCTTCATCAGGATGGTTGGCGTTGGCCTCTGGGAGGCCATTCTGATGTGGCGCTACTAACTGGATGTAGGATAGAGAGTGGGGTGTGAGTTCTGAGAGTGGCGAGATACTGGAACAAACTCTGTTACGATTTGTTTGAGTTGGCTCATCATCAGTGTAATTTCAATTGTTATCCTCGCAGGTTCTACTTGTGATTGGTTGTTGGGAGTTTGTCAGAGAGAGAGAAACACTGTGTGTCTTCTCCACATCTGGGCATAGCTGTATTCCGCTGCCTACTCTGATCTGTCTGCAGTGTGAACTCTGTCTCCTCTCCCCCTTCTCTTATGCATGTATGGGCGTGTATGAGATTGTCTGTGTGTGAGTGGCGGTAAAAATCGTCAGACAACCAAGTTCATAACACTGTACTCTCACAGCACTTGGGGCTGTCCAGAGGTCTGGGCTACTCGAAGTCTGCGGGAGGCAAGAGAAGTTGGAGCCCTGCTGAACCCTCCTCAGGAGTAGGGTGTCAGGGTGTGCGTGGCACTGCAGCCATAGCTGCAGCTTCTTCCTCAGAGATCATCTTGTCAGGAGAGGTGGTGCTGCTGCAAACTTCCACCCGGGAAGTCATTCCGCACTTCATCATCATCAGACACTGTGGCGCTTGTCTTCTTCTTCATCCTCTGAGAAGCGCTTGGCCTCAGAGGCCTGTTTCAGGGTGGCGCTTCCCTCTGGAGGCAGTATCTGGGTGGCACTTGATGTTTCAGGGACTCAGGGCTGTTGTTAGCGGTTACTCAGGGCTGGGGAGTGAAGCGCTGCTCATTTCTGAACAGCGCACCATAGTTCTGGGGTTATCCTGACAATTTGAGACTCTGAGTTTAATAAACAAAGTTGATACTGAGTTTGAACTATCTTTGCTTCATTGTTGCTTGGATGTGATCTACTCGGCTTTCCTTTGTGACTGGTTGTGAGGATTCTCTGGAGCGAACTGCACTGTCACTGCTTTCTGTCATATCGCATGGTCAAGTCTTCCACTGTGTTTATCTCTCCCAGTGTGGTGTGATACTCCCATCCTCTCCCCTTCCTTGTGTATATGTATGGGCATACCTGGAGGTCTATGTGTGTGAGTGTTGGTCATCCGACAACAAGCAACCAGGTTCATAACATATTGGCGCCAGTTGGTTACAGGCCCCCACATGCTGTGTGTGCAGTGTGACTGAGACCTCGTGAGCCTTCCAGGCTTTTCCAGGCAGCGACCTGGAATCAGGCCTTTCAGCCAATCAGCATGCAGCTAGTGACATGAGCCACGTCGCACAGTTGGGCGTGCCTAACTGCATCGGTCCCAGGCCAGTATCTGAATTGGGCCTGGGTGCAGACACTTTGCCCCAACTGCAGGCTACCGGGAACTCAGTCACCAGGATCAGGCCGCCACGTACGGTCAGCACTTTCCATATACGAAAATGCTCACCTCCAGCCAGGCATTCTGGCATGCAGCCACTGGGCGACAGCGTTACCTCATTTGCCCTCCAGGGCGCACACACGGGCGCTGGGAGTAGACGCTGCCTGGAAGCAGTGTGCAGGTCAGCCATGGCCAGGCTGAACAAGCTGGTGCTGCTGCTGGCGATGATGGTCTTCGGGGTAGACGATGACTGTGGTGGCAGGCGGTGACGAGGCAAAGAGGAGAGAAACGTACCAGATGTGTATGCAGCAGTCTGCATGGGCGACTTCGTCATGTACATTGGTGTTCGGCTGGAGTGTTTCCTGGTTGCATGTCGTCGTTGTAGGGTAGTATTGGTTCTTCATGGTAGGCTGGGCGCTGAGCGCCAATCAAGAAGAGCAACATTGGATGCATTGTTGATGGTGGCGACTTGGGGCTGACATTGACATTCGAGTTCATTCCGTTGCTCTTATTTGGCTTGTATCTCGGAGCATTCTACTTTCTGCTTGGCACACGACTCTCTGGTCTTCATTCAAGTTCAATGTGATGTTGCAATTTGGTTTTCTGTCTATCGTTCTCGCTCATTTTCCTTGCAGAAGATTAGCATGGCCCTTAAAACCGAAGAGAGAGAGAGAAAGAGGGGAAAAATAAAATAAAATCCTGGAGCTTGTTCCTCCTGTTTGTTTGCTGTTAGAGGTTGAAGACATGTCGACTGGAAGCAGGAGCACTGATTACTCTTGAGGGATTTGCAGGGCTGACTGCACTTCTAATGGAGAGTTCGATGCACTGCTGATAATCATAATGCTGATAGTGTTGGTGGGGGGTGGGGGGGGATTGAAGGAAAAAAAGGAGGAGCTCTAGTACCGTGACGAAAGATAGCTGAAGTAAAATGCATATCAGATGCTAGCCTGATACACTTAGTGGGAACCCCTGACAGTGACGGAGAAGAGTAACTGTACGCCCCAACTTTTTGTACTTTCTAGGTTTCTACTAAGAAAGGTGGACTACCCTGCTGCTCCTTGCAAAGGAATTGTGTCGTATTTCGAAAAAAAAAGTTCAATGATCACCATCACCATGATTTTTGGGCATCTAAATAGTTGACACTGACTTGATAGCAAGAGAAGGCAGGGAAGGGCGAATGATAGTGGGATTCTGATCTGCTCCATCTTACATCCCTTGGTCTGCCAGGCAACTGATGAGATAATCCTCGCATATTTGCTAGGGGGGTTGAGACAGCTATCAGCAATTGTAGCCTTCTCATGTTTACCGGTTTTATCGCCGAACAACCTCTCCAAAAGACCTAGCACACTCAGAGTGTGTCCTGATTAGACAGGGGCTGAAAAAAAGGGATCCTAACCTTTACCACAGCTCCTAGGTATAAATAAGTCGTATTAGAAGTTCAGCCAGGTGAACAGATACAGCTTCACTCTCAAAGGGGTTCATCGAACATTAACTTGCCAGGAATATGTTGTGCATGATGCACGCAAGCTCAAGTGAACGGGAAGGAGGGGACTGTTGTGAGGTGCGGTGTTACACCTTATGCTGCTTGTGTGACGGAGAGGATGTGTCAATGGGATCATATTATGCTTCATGTGCGTGGCAGCATGTGCACCAGGGGGGAGGGAGGGGTCAAGGGGCGTTGCAACGTGCTTTCTGTGTGGGGGAGACAGGAGGTCGAGTCTAAAGAGGCATCACAACATATTCTCCAGGCAAAGGGGACTGAGCAGCAGTTGCAACGGATGTCAAAAGGTGGCTGATTATATTAAGGAATATTCCCTGCGATATCCTTTTGTGGTAGAATTCACAATTGATAGGGGTTATGAATTCACCTATGGGGAAGTCAAGGAGTTGTTAGACGATCCTGGGGTTATGACGAACTATATGACTAGAGCACACCCACAGGCAAATTCGCCAGTAGAGGGAGGACATAGCACTATCACCAGCTTCCTCACGAAGTGGACTGAAGAGAAAGCTAACATCTGGCATGAGTTTCTACGGTCAGT